GCACTGTGTCCAGTTCCAGGCTCCCCAGTACAAGAGAGACAAGGCACTACTGGAAAGTGTCCAGCAAAGGGCTACTAAGATGATGAGGGGACTGGAGCATCTCTCCTATGGAGAAAGGCTGAGAGAGCTGGGCCTGTTCAGCCTGGAGAAGAGAAGACTGAGAGGGGATCTTATCAGTGCATACAAATATCTAAAGGGAGGGTGTCAAGAGGATGGGGTCAGACTCTTCTCCGTGGTGCCCTGTGATAGGACGAGAGGGAACAGACACAAACTGAAACACAGGAAGTTCCGTCTGAACATGAGGGAAAACTGCTTTCCTGTGAGGGTGACAGAGCACTGGAACAGGTTGCCCAGAGAGGCAGTGGCATCTCCTTCTCTGGAGATATTCAAAACCCGTCTGGGTGCAATCCTGGGCAATGTGCCCTAGATGACCTTGCTTGAGTAGGAGGGTTGGACTGGATGATCTCCAGAGGTCCCTTCCAACCTTGGCCATTCTGTGATTTTGTAATAAGTGGATATAAACTCAGCAGTATTTAGAGCCGCATAATTTGTATTTGGATCTTGTAAATAACATATATTTACTTCTTATTCAAACCTAATTTGCATCAAGGGCAACCACTAAACAAAAATGTCCCATCTTTTTGTGCATGGCAATCCTTAAATGCAGAGTAAAGGACCATGTTCATGGAGCTTGGTAACTGAAGGCATTTCTCAGGTGTTTCTGCAGATTAAGAGGGTGCCGTTCCACTCAGCTACAGAAAAAATGGTAATATATGGAAATTTAAGTTCACGTGAAAGAACTGCCTTCCAGAATCATCTGGGAAAACTCTTTGCCAGCAGTTGGGTAGTGGGGAGAGTCCCTAAGTCTGAGCATGCCTGGGGGAAGCAGGGATGATGTGAGGTTACTTGTCTGAATCTGTAAAGGTCTGTAGTAGAAATATTAAGATTGGCATAAATGAAGTGTGAATGGAAAAATGTGTATGTGTAAGTACTAGAAGAAAGGTAAGAAGAAGGATAAAAGAACAGTGTGCATTGAGAGCACCTCGATGAACAGGCCATCAAGATCATAGTACACTGATGTGCAACTTCTCAGACGTTCATATTGGTAAAACAGCCTACACCAAGGAAGGAGACTGAAGAACAAAAATTAAATCAGCAGTGTCACATAATGACTCACAGAATTAGGACAAGATGAAGAGGCAAAAGATTTCAATACACATCGGCTCTTAAAGGGTACAAAAGACACGTCCAAAATGAGCACATGGCCGCCAATCTAAGAGGAACCTGTGACGTGTGATGAGGACTTGATATTCAGCATCCTTTATTCTCCACGGCATCACAATTAATGCTGGTCAGACTGGCTGGACACACATAAACACATCATAGTACTTATACGAGATGTGAGCTGGAGCCAATCTGCTAGTAAAGCTGAATGAAATAAAATCACCTTCCTTTCTTGTATGGTCTCCCATTGAGCGTTGCTACATAAGTTGTACAATTGAACTGTCAATAGAGAAAGAATAAATCAGTAAAATTAATTCAGTTATTCTCCACTAACTGGTATATGGAAGCAGTAATAAGTAAAGAAACTGCTGTCTGAACTTCCAGATTTCAAGGAATAACAACAAACAAATTATTAAACCTTACTAATATTTTCATTGAAAATAATCAATGACTACTGTCAGTGGCATTTAGCTTCCTCACTACTACCCATTTTCTAAACATGAACACGCCTTTGAATTTTACTCCAAAGTAGGAGAAAACTGATAAGAGCTTTAGCTAACCCTAACCCATTCAAAATACCTGAGAAATGATGTGAAAGGTGAGAAGAGGCGAAGGAGCTGCATAAATGAGAAGAGTGAAAAAACATGTTTCTGTGAAATGCACCTACCTGCACGAACTATACAATACAATGCAAAACCCTGCAGGACTTTGAAAATTATAATTGCCTGAAGTGAGTTTTACTTTATTTGAAGGTTGTTTTGGTTTCAAGTGCTTTTTTTTTTTTTGAGTTCTTTTTTTCCTTTCCTTTCTAAATCCCAAACCTCTAGGATGATCATCAACTGGTAGGTGCGTGTTTTTACGTCCTGTAGCATTTCATAGCTCAGTGCCATGCCATGCAACATACTCCAAGAAAATTCACCCATTGCTCCATCTACAAACCCATTTACCTCTTTCAAATCCTGGACGATAGCAGTGAGTCTCTCATTCTCTGCCTGCACGTTGGTGACCACTGCCCTGCTCTGTTTCAGCTCATTCTGCATCTCCAAAATCTTCCCTAGGTAATAAGCTTCCTTTGATGCAGATTCCTGCAGGAGAGTCTCTTCACGTGTTTCACCATCTTCAGCCACTTTGCGGTGAATTGAGAAGGACTGTCCAAACGCCTGCAACAGGAAAACAATACACAGTATAAAACCACTGAGGCCCAAAAAAAAATGTTAACAGTAATGAGCACCTGCATAGCTAGAGGGAATGGACTAGATCTGTGAGTCCCAAACTCTGACCTAATAAATACTGTCTTAGCAGCTTCCTAGCAGCAGAGGGTCAGCATCTCATTTAGCTGAAATGAAGCATCTTGAAGCTGTTCTCATTTGCAGTACAGAAATATGGCCCATATCCAGGCAGCCTCCACTGAGATCAAGATGGTGCATTGCTAACTAGCCATTAATTAGTGCCTGTGGTTAATTCTCTTCAATGAGGTGAACTGATATTCATCAATTCCTTTATTCTCTAGTTCTGCAAACTGTGCTCCTTTTTACTTTCCTTCTCTTTTTTCTTTCTTTCTTTCTTTCTTTTTTTTTAAGCATAAATAGCTGGCAAATCTCTCTAAATTGCTTTCCATTTTCAGTGTTCTTTTATGTTGGGAGCTGACCTCATGGTAACGGGAGACAGTGAAAAAAGGCTTCCCATAACTTGAAAGAAAGATAAATGAGCTGAGTACAAGCAGTGGCCATCTACATTACTGGTAGGCTAAACACTCAGTTTGACAGTTCCTTTCTTCCATTCCTTTCATTTGTACTTAATGTTCTCTGCTTCTGCTTCTTTTTCCTTTTTTCCATAGGGAAATAACAAAATATTTAAGCGTTCAGGAAGTTTATGAATAAATAGGTAATTTTCAGTGATTCTCCTACTCTTCCAGTTAACCGGCTTAGAGTGATTAGCTTAATAACGTAATATTTCTCAGTGACATTGTCTGAAGGGATGTTACTCTACACAGCTTGGAAGCAACTTAGAAGAAAATAAAGTGTAAGTCATGACAGTAGAAATGATGGAGACATCATTCAGCTATCAAAGGTGGAAGAAAAAAAGCCTACCGGTACATAAAAGCAAAATCTCTGTTTTATCTATATTAGCTTTAAAAACAGATACCTGGTTGCAAATCCTAAGGCCTAACTCAGAAAAAAACCCTAAAGAAGTAATTAAATATTAAGAAGAACTAATCTAGCATAGGAAGAAACTCTCTCATATCTTAACTCAGAGAATACATGTGCACTGAAAGACTGTGATTTTTTTTTTTTTTTTTCAATTTAGGAGAGCTATCTAAGTCATGGTAGTACCTGTTCTTTCAGCGGGGAATTAATTTCCGCCCAGACCCACACAGCACAGAATACATTTGTTCCCACTGGTCTCCTTTGCCTTCTCATCAGTAAGAACCACCTGCCAAATGAAATTCTTTGCTTTGTTGTCATTATTTATAGCCTTTCAGAAGACATTCAAAGTTTTACTGGCACCAGAACTGAAACAGTTCCTTAAAAACTTCAAAGCAAAACTCTGTTCAGAACTTTGTAGCTTTTAAGCCTACTCTACTCGGAGAATTCTGTGAATTCAGCATTAAAGGATTCTAAAAATATTCAATAATGTATTAACCCAGCTGTCTTCTTGAAAGACTGCAAATTACTGAAATAGCAAGCATCAGCAACTTGCTGGATAGGATTTTTCAAATAACAAGAAATTCAATTTAATGAAACTGTTATCCACTGATTCAGTCACTACACCTGTGAATGTAAGACCATTTCAGGAACACTGCTAATAAATTGTATCTCACAATATATACTTATATTAAATAGCTCACTGTGCCTAATTTGAGACCTAAGCAGAAAGCACCAGTCTATTAAAAGACACTATAAGATAAATATAAAGGGCCACATATCCAGGGGAAAATTAAAACACATAACAGAACAGCGGGTGGGACTGACAAGGCTAGAGACTCTCATCACCCAGGAAGAAATGGGACCTGGAGCCTGTTTAGTCAGAAGACTGCATAGTTGAAACACCACTGATAAATACCAGTACATCGTGATGATGGTCTTCCAGGTGCATACTACATTTTCCTGAAATGATTTCTCCTTATTTTGGGCCATGCTCCCTTTTGATTGGCAAAAAAAAAAAGTAAACAAATAAAAATGCTGTGTTCTATTCATTAAACTATTCTGGGAACCAACAGACCTTAAGACCAGAAAACATTTATCCAAACAACTCTATAATTATTACTTATACATCAAATCTAATACATCTCTTTGTTTAGCAAGGGTTCATAATAGCACTGAGGATGTTTCCCAGAACCATCGGAACAGCTAGCATATGGAGCCTGAGTAAAAAGGAAACATCATTAATTAACCAGACATTTTTCTCCATTTCCCTCCTCCCCATAATCTCAGGAACAAATATTTATTTCTAAAAGGAGCATAGGACAAGTGACTGTCAAAAATATCTGAGCTTCTTAGTAGATTAGTAAGGTCACAGAATTGTAGTGGCACCATGCCAGAACTATCCATTTGGTCTTTTACCTAAGGTAAATCATTTAATTATGCCAGCTATTTTGCAAAATATTTTAAAAAGCAATTATGACCTGTGTTGATTCTGTTGTGGAGTTCTGTGCTAATCTTCAAAGCTGTAATATACCTTTCATGCTGTATCCTTGCTCTTACACAATATAACCTCACCCTGTGGTCCAGATCCTTGTGTCTGACAGACATGAGCATTATATAAGAAGGGAAAGTGCAAATATAATACACATACAGTACATAAAAGCATAACCAAATTGCCAAATTTTTAAACATAATTTTTACATTACGTTGTTTGACAGAAAATTACTGTGTACTTTCTTAATGTTTCCTTGTACTATAGAAAATATATGAAAATCATTTAAGTAATTTTTCCTATGAAACCAAATTTGAGTACTATTGCAAATTATACCATTTTGTTTCTTAAACTGCTACCAGTAAGTTAAAGTTCTGGGGAAGGAAAGAAAGGAAGCATAATTCTCTTTCCATATGAATGGAAGTTATGCAAATCCATGCATCATGGGGAGGAATATAAGGCATGTCTTTTAATTAAAATGTAAGCAAAAAATCCAGATCCTGCTTTTAATGGTCTCTTTAGAACACCAAAAAGTTAAGACTTTCCAGACATACCCACTTAAGGACTTCCACAGGATTATTCACTTTTATATTGCACCATATATCAATATTTTTAAGTTTGTAGCCACATATTTGTTCTACTTTAAGTTTATATTTTAGTAATTTGCTTAATATGTTTACCAATTTACAAAACTTCATAACCTTGCTACGACACAGGTATGCACAGGTATTTCAAATAACTGCTCACACCTGCTTCACTGACATCATCCCTACAGTGGGACAAGCCAGCCACCATAAAATCTGTTCAGATCAACAAACCCTGTAACAGGCACAACTGTCTTCCAGCAACCACCCATCTCCAGCCTAGATGCGACAACATACCTCATACCAGCACTTCTCACGGCCACTCACGCTCAGTCAACAGAAAAAAACAAGCTGCAACCTCAAATGGCTCAAGTGCCCTTTGTGGTCTCCCCAACTACCTCACAAATATGTCAGCTGGGAGCTAGGAAGTTCATATTGGTGAGGGCCAGCAGTGGATAAGATCTGAACCAGGGGGCATTTGGCACCAAGAGGCATTTACCCTGTGTGAACTGGATACAAACGACACCTGCACCAGGAATGGAAGGGAGATGAAGCAGACGAAGAAGGTTGCAACCTGGACTGCAGGCTAAAGAAAAGCTCATTTGGATTTAAGTCAAGTGTGGGATACAAACTGGCCTGCTGAACATATCTGAGGCTATTCTACGTGGGAACAGACGGATATGTTACGGAAATCTGATTGGGAAATAGCTTTGCTTTGACACCACATGATGTTGCAGGCAAGGCTGAAGTACCACGCAAACTCACACCAGGTGTTCTCTGTCCTCACCGTTCAGAAACTGCCAATATTTTTATCAGATATTCCCAGTGAGGGGATAGCTTTACAGCCAGGTTGGCTCCTGATGAGATGTTGTTCCTGCCTAGAAGTACCATGTCACCTGCACAGCTGTCTGTAGGGGTTTCTCCTCAAACCAAATTCCAGGGTGGCCAGAGTGGGGCCACACTCTTCCATGCTTTCCGTCTTTTCAATTGGATTAGGACAAGTGCATTAACTAACACCACACAGTGTGAGTAACACTGTGCCAGACTAACTGGTTTGTTTTGTTTCTGTGATAGTATTCGCGACTGGTGCTGTACTGTGCTTTGGAGATGTATTACTTAATTACCTCAGTTATCTTCAGTATGATGCTGTCTTGCTTGGTGTAGATATATGCTGTCATTTGTGATTACTTATAGAAACCACTTAGAATTTACTATTGGTCCCAGGGTGGCTTTTAGTTTCAGCAGTCACATTGCAGAGTATTTTTGACAAGCTCAGTGTCTTCCAAATTCAAATCAGGACTCAGACAGGGCTGTACAGACCCACGCATAAAACCCCATACGACTTCTATCCTCTCGAGAACTGTTCTCCCATTGCAGGCACAACAGCTGAAATCAGCCATGAACATTGCGATATAGTCAACATTTTGACAAGGACTATCCTAACAGAGACCAGTCTGAATTTCACATTATGATACTTCAAGACTCTGCTTGAAAGATGCTGCTGACTGAGGTAGGGGATTTTTTTCTAGCTACGTGGTGCCACTAAGCATTACATATGTATATTGACAATTGAGAATTGCATACCAGCAGCATGACTTTTTAGGGATATCTTAAAATTTAAACTTTGAAAATGATGAAATAACAAGACTTAAACAATGATCATATTAGTCTGAGAGCATCACAAAGGATGGCAACAATGGACACGTACAGGGAAATCGGGTCAATTTGATCACAGGAAAGGGTATAAGTTTCAGGAAAAGGCCCCTTGTCTCTGAACTCAGAATGACCCCAAAGGGAAATTTTAACCTCAGAATAAAACTAACATGAAAGAAATAATGAATAAAATGGACATAGATTTTTGAAAGGGCAACTGAAAAATATGACTAATCCAAATAATGCATGTATGAATTTGTTTATGCAAAATATGAAGAGCAATGAAA